CCAACTGCCCAACCTATTTCTAAGCAATTATCTGAATATATATACCACCACAGAACTATCGGCATATCGTAGATGGATGGAAAACTGCGAAGCAAGCATGCAATTGTTTTTTTCCGCTTCAATAATTCAAAAAAACGAGGTCAATCCTTCACGTCTCAGTCAAAATAGATTCACACTTTTTTTTTATCAAATTATCAAAGCATTTTTTGTAATATCAAACCACCAGGTAAAAAAAGAAAGAAAAAAAAAGTCATCAGAAATTAAAATCGTATACAATCTCAGAAATATAGGATGTAGTGCTCTTGTCCCATATATAACACCTCAAGAAATTTACAGTTCGACGTTCATTCCACTTACATCGAACCGACGATGCCAACATTCACGTGCAGTTTTATTGTCGAGAAACACAACTTACTAAAATCGCTAATGTACTCATTAAAGACAACGGAAAAACACTCAAGGTTTTGTGGGCCTGGTGCAAAACCTTAATAATAGTTTCTGTAAGTTCTTTAGTTATTTAGTAAGTTATATCACACAGTCATCAAGCAACTCGTAAAAGTTGGTATCGTCAGTTCCACGTTAGTGCACTGAACGTCGAAATATAGTTTTGGGGCGTTATGTATGGCACGAAGGGTGTAAGTACTACACCCCCTATTTCTTAGATTGTATATACAGTCCGTTGCAACTCAAAAAGGTAAGGCGAATGAAACGCAGGCCGAGGAGGAGGAAGCAGACGGAACGCTGGAAAGAGGAGAAGATTTCCCCTCTCCTCTTCAGTGTTCCATCCGCTTCCTCCTCCCCGGCCTGTCTTTCCCTCGCCCTGTCTTCTTGAGTTGCGGCGGACTATGCGGAGCGCAAGTCCGTCTGCTTCTTTTGCAGGGGTTGTAGTGACGTCAGACAGACGCCGAGCCCTGATTGGCTCTGATTGAAGGATAGTGGGTAGAGCCCTTGAGGCAGCTTGCTTTGAGGTCTACCCACTATAATTCAATCAGAGCCAGTCAAAACACAGCGTCGTTCTGACGTCACTAGAACCCCTGCAAAAGAAGCAGACGAACTTGCGCTCCGCATAGTCACTGACAGCTTAAGGAACGCAGGGTGTGGTTTAGTACGTTCACGCTTCGGGCTACGTGATTGGCTTTTTCGCGTCCTTATCGGCTAACGCTGCAATCTGATTGGCCGCGGGGCTATAATGAGATGCGTGGCATGCGCGCCACGCCCTTTTGTGCTTCTTAATAGTGACTCTAGCCCCGACTGCCATCGAGACACGTTCCAACGGGGCAAAACGCGGCATATTTTATAGGTTACGCGAAAGAGTACAAAATTAGCATAACACGACACACACACACATATATATATATATATATATATATATATATATATATATATATATATATATATATATATATATATATATATATATATATATATATATATATATATATATATATATTTATTTTAAGTAAAAGCTAGAGCAAGCACACACACACTATAATCCCGTACTATCTCAAGAAAAATTGAACGGTATGAAGTAATCGTAAGAGTAACCTCATTGTAGTACTACAATTATCTGTAGTCATTACTATTTCCCCCTCGTTTACTTACGGCGCCCTTTGTTTCTCCGAGTTTCCTACCGAGAAAAATGGAACCAAGTCTCCGATGGGAGGGCGATCTACCAAAAGCCCGCATAATGACACGATAAGAAATTCGTAATTCCGCGATTTGAATTCATTAATGGACAGTACGAATGGCCCGTTCTAAAACCGGCGGAAAATTCTGTCAATTTGAAAAACTCAAGTAATCGGAAAAGTAACTTTTTTTTTCAAGTAACGGTCAATCGCTTGTGTAATCAAGTAATCTAATTGAACATTTTTTAATTGAGATTATTCGCGATTGTAATCAATTACTTGTTTTACTGACGTGTGCGAAACTGATCTCAAGAACAGTGGTAAAAAAGAGGTCCGGATCCACGCTGAACGTTACTTATTTTCCCCTCCATGCGTTACATTAAAATATACGAGGTGTCCCAGAAAAGTCATAAGACTGGCAAAACCAGTGCACGAACCGACAATGCTGCTGCTGCTTGCTCCTTCCCATGGCAGTTAGGTTAATCCCTGCCGAAGACTCGGTATAACCTTGAACTTGCTACCGTTGTTACGCGATTGTTGAGAGCATCTCAAGAAAGCTTGTGCCTGTCAGGTGCGTTACAAAGATGGACCGGCAAAATATAGTGCACGTTGTGCAACAAATCAAAACTCAAATCATTTCTCACTTTTTGTTGTTTCTTCTTTTTGTGACAGTCAGGGAATCGTTTGCGAAGAATTTTTGCGTCCAGGACCAACTGTGAATCAAACTTTTTTTTTTTTATTGGGAAGTTCTTGAAAGGCTCAGGAAGAGGATGGCAGGTATGCGATCAGGCATTGCACGCACTTGGATGCTGTACCACGACAACCCACCATGTCATACTGCAATTTTCATTCATGAATGTTTAACGAAACAAAAAAGGCATTCCTGTGGTTTCCCAGACGCCCTATTTGCCGCATCTCAGTCCTTGAGACTTCTTTGTATTCTCCCGGCTCAAACACCACTTGAATGGGCGCCATTTTGGTACTTTGGATAATATCATCTGCTGAAAGGCATTCCAGCAGAAGCCTTCCGGCACTGCCACAAACAATGAAAACAGCGCCTCCGTCCGTGTGCAGCTGCCCAAGGGAACTACTATGAAGGGGGTAACCTTGATTTGTAAAAATACTAAAATTCATGGTAAAAAGAAAACCAGTCTCATTACGTTTTTGCCATACCTCGTATGCAGCAAGTGCAACTTGGATGAGCTGCATGTTTTTCAATTAATAAGTACACGTTTAAGGCATCAAGGCATCGTTTCTTCTTTCGACAACAAAATCTTCTTAGAACTACTTCCTTGCATCGCATGAATAATGCATAAAACTTCCCCTTTTTTTTTTCTCTTCCTGATGTAACGACGATGGTAAAATGTTCATCACGCCATCTTTGATCGGGAACACCGCGCACACCAATCGCAGAAAACTTGCATTCTTAGCGAGGAGCAAACAAATTAATATAAAAATAAAGGCGGCACACTTCAGAAGCCCTTGTCTTTAAAACCCCCTGGGGCGTGGGAGCCTCTCGTTAAAAAAGTTAACCGAGCATTGAACGTCAATACTTTCAAACTTCGAGACAACGTACTCGAGTAAACATCACGTCGAAAGCGCTAGGGTGTTTTCTTTTTTATTTTTGTTTTTCTCACATTCTGTTGGTTGATTCTTTTTTTTTTTTTTTTCTTAAAGTAAACAGGTCAACATTGGTTTATATTTTCGGGTCGGGACTGCATGAAGGCTTAGTAGTTACAAGACAACATTTTATTATGTTTTTCCATCTACCATCAACGAACGTATTAGAAAGAATATTGCTAGGGTACTAGTAAAGGAAGATGTAAGAAAACATGAATTAAATATACGGTGAAAGTTGGCAGCGGTACGTTATTCAGGAGAAAAAAAAATCCGTTCTGTGCGCAAACTCGGCAAGCCCGTGTACTTTGGAAGTGTCATTTTATTCTAACGATATTCGCATAGAATGCACGTCGAAGTCAGATAAAAAAAAACGTTTTAACGAGAAGCGTTTTTTGGTTCTCCAGAGGAGAGGAGAAAGGGGGGGGGGGGGGGGGGGGCGTTTGGCAGATTTAGTGAAGCCCCAAAAAGTTGACAGTAAAGCTCGACGCTGATTTGCTGGTGAAAAGGTCACGGGATCAACTTTGAATGGCTGATCCTGGTGTGTATGGGAGGTTCTGGAAAAAAACGTCAGCCTTCAAAGCCCGACTGGCGCCAGTATCTACATTCCAGAAACTGCTGTCAAGTCTATATGTCGAGTGTTAAGTTATCTGTTGAAAAGCACCGTCAGCGCATACGCGCCGGGGTACGTAACGTACAGGAGCGATACCAAAAATGCTTCACGTCTAAAACAATTGCCCGGAAGTTTGCCACGCTATTTTATTAACAAATAGATTTTAAAAAAAATTTCGGAAGTCGCATGCTTCTTTCTATTCGTTATTTGTGAACTCTCTTGTGCTGTATTTTTTCTGCGTCCGATCTTGTGCGGCATTTTATCAATTATCTGATTACAAAGCTGACAAAGGTAATGTTACTAGCCTCTATCTCTTCGATGGCAGCGTTGCTGAGGTAAATACAACTATCGTTCGGCTTTCTTGGGTATTTTGCAGGGTGTAAAGATATTCGTTCCCAAACCAGCTCGCGGAGAAAGCCTTTGGCGTGAGATGGAAATACTTACATGAATCCACCTATATTTATGTCCTGAATATTAGGCACCACTTATACAGCTTCCATTCAATCATTATGTGTTTTTTCTTTTTAAGAATTAGTTAATGATACAGATATCCAACACCGTGGTTTCTGCCTCTGATGAGAAATTTGAAATTGCGCAACCAGCATTTACATGACAACGCACTATGGCTACTCTGAACTTCTTTTATTTTTTATGACGTTTGTGCAAACAGGCTATTGCTTTGTTGAGTTTGTTTATTTACCCCAAAATTTGTTTATATTAATAAATAAAAAATTGGTAACTGGAAAAAAAATTCGTTTTCTTTCACACAGTTTTAAAAAAGAAACCGCAGATATTTGCGCCCTCTTCGTGCTTCTAATTGTTTTGTGTTTTTGAACATATTGAATGGAATTCATCTTTTAAAAAAATGTCCTATGGTCGAAGTTTATAAAGCTAATAAATAAATTAAATAAATAACATAACGTCTGTGACGAAACGTAGACTTAATTTACTTGGTTCGATTTCTCCTTATTTCTTGTTCCCCGTTGCGCGTGTTTCTCGTGTAACCACTTAAACTTACTGGGTTTTTATCTTACGTAGTCACTTGTAGCAGAGTTTCTTGATTGCCGTAGTGCCTAGTGTTGGTCGAAATTAGGTCCCGAGCGTAAACTACTCTAATAAGTGTGTTGTTAGACGTCACAACTCACGTAAGGTGGCATGAAGTTTTTGGCCTTGAGTTCCATCTCTTGCGAGGCTTTCACCTGAAAAAGTGCAACATTTAATGCATCAGACAAACAACACGTAAAACAGGTTTATCGGCATTTCTCATCCAGGTTCAGCTAAACCAGGGAAGCACACAATAGCGAGTTCTAGAATAGGGGGCCCCACAGCTTTGGGTGCCCCAAACAGCCTGGGGCGTCCCACTGAGCATGCGCAGAACTTCTGAGCATGCCCATTGCGATGCCCCTGAGCTGTTTGGGGCACCCAAATCTTTGAGGCCCTTTATTCTAAAACTCGCTAATATGTTGTGCGTGCATTACGCGTACATTAATGTTAGTTATTTTTGGTTACTAGAGGGTTGCGGCTGGTTTTAGATGCGTTGCTCATACGACACACTCACGTGCTCATCGAGTGGAGTGTGTGCGAGCAGTATGGTTTAATGAGAAGTTTCCGCGGGTTCTGCGATTACTTTACTGGAAATAATACTAAAGTGGTCTACAAACCAAAGCTGGAAAGCGGGAAAAGTGCAGTTTTAGACGAGATTTTTTTAAACGCTTTCAACTTTGTCACGTTTTTTGATGGGGGCAGCCCAAAGACCCTATATAAGAGCTTTGTACAAGTAGCGACATTCCTTGAAGCGCCGGCTGCGTGACGGCGCAGGTTTCAGGTAGCGAATGGCGGCGCACAGCAGAGGCTTGAACTGAATGCCGTTATTTTGTTCCAGCGGATTGTGCTTTCTCAATTGTATTGGTTGTCGTTCCTTGTAAAAGATGTATCAAGGGACTTTAGGGCACCCAGGTGGGGGCATGGAGGAGGAAAGTGCAGAGCAGCAGGCAAGGAAGGTGCGAAGCATCAAACAGAACTTCGGACCGGCTAAAGGAAGAGAGACACCAAGCTAGAGAGGCGATGTATGCGAAGGAGCAGGTGGACAGAGAAATTCGCATTGGTCGGTCACGAGTGACATCTTACTGAGGACTGACTCGACATCCCGCGCACCCTCTCTCCCCGATGTCTCCGTCTGGCTCCGACACAATGCATGCACAAACCGAAAAACGAAACAAAGCGTTCCCGCTTCCCGTTTTTCGGCTGGAAAAGTGCACACTTTCCGCTTTCTGTATTTTTTTTTTTTTTAATTGGAGATTTTTTTTATTTTGCGAAAATCGAGTCCTTGTCGCCGACAACGTTTGCGTAGATGGCACGACTGGACGCGCGCATCCTCGAAGTTTTTTTTCTCTTTTAATTAGGAGGGGTGGTTGCCGTCATTTATCGTCGTGGAAGCCCGTCGAGACAGTGGAGGCATCCGTCTTTGCCGTCTTGGCGAATCCGGTGTCTCGGTGTGTCCGCTGACGCCCCCGTCCCTCGGCGCTGCGCTGACTAACAAACTTTTTTCGCACAATCTCCCACCAACGTCTAACTGAAGCACCCTCAATCTGCTACATTTTTAGGTTGCCCGCTGGCACAGGGTATACAAAATATGTCGGTATGAAGTATGGACGAAAGGGCTTAGAAACGGACGTCGTGCGTAAATTAGTTCCTAGTGTTTTTTTGTTTTTTTTTACCATGTTACGATTTCCGTAAATCTACGGCTATCGCTGCGTCGTCCTCGGGAGCATAAATCATTTTAATAAGCCTAAGAACAATCGCCAAAAGTTTGCGACGGGCACAAGAAGTTGCAGCGCGAGTGTGGCTGTAATGTTATTGAGCTTCACATGTTCCCAAAGTTTCCTTATTTATGAAATCAGTCGATAGGGAGCATAAATTGCGAGGGCTCTGTTTCAGACTAATCTTAACGTTTATGCTCACTACTTTGTCTAAGGCAAGCGGAGCGATTCCAACCCCGTGTTACTGCTCGGATTCGGTTATCACTACGAGGTATCGGATGCTATTACTCCATGGGACGTGAAGGGTATGAAAACGTATACATAAAACCACTCGAGAGACAGGTATCAAGTGCCAAGAGCTTAATTGCAAAGAGTAAATTAACCTGGTCATATATTAATATTTTTAAGAAATTCAATCAACCCATCCCACCGCCTTCCTCCTCGTTCTTTCGAGGAGGCAACGTGATAGCCTAGCTGTCATTAGTCAGCTCGATTTAACCGGCCAAGTTCCAGCTGAATGAAAATTATCCTTCCCGCTAGTTGGTTATTTATTACAAAATTATAGCGCAAAAAACTAGGACAGGAAGGAAGGCTTGGACTCTGTCCTGTCACATTGTTTCTTCCTGTCCTAGCTTCACGCTATAATTTTGTAACAAGTTCCAGCCAAGTCACTGTAGCCCACCATACCCAAGTCTAGCCTAATTCCCTCATACCCTAACCTTTGCCTAGACATTCAGTTTGCCGCGCTGCCACAGGCAGCCAGTATTGCAAGTTTTAAGACGCTAGACGGCGTCGTGGGCGCCGCAATTGTCAAACTAACGACGCCTTAAAAAATGATTTATACAGTTGAACGAAGTAGAATGTATTATTTTAAAGTATCGAAGTTCTGCTCCTCCCAAGGGTGTGCGTCGTGTCTTGCGACCATGGTGCTCTTGGAGTACTAGGAGCCAGCTCCTTGAGATAACCGATGTAATCTCAAGGAGAGGGAAGTTATTGCTCCAGCTAATCCATCTATTGGGTCCCACGCTCGTTGCGCTATACGTTGGTGCATTACGATCGACCCCGTGAGGCTATGGGATTATCTGGGGAGCTACGGCTTGCCGTTCTGTAGCAAGCTGCACGCGGCGAGGGTCACCTGTTTACGCGGGCTCCCGTGCGCCACATTGTGTCCTACTGTTTGTGTTTCAGACCCTTCATCTCCTCTCGTGGCGCCGAGCAAAGGCGTCAGGCTGCGCATCGCACGGTACGGGATTCGATCTCTACCAGGCCGCTTGATAAATCTCGCCTGTTACAGTTAATCACACCTATATATCAGTATGTACGATTAATTATGGCTAAGTATGATTCTTTTTCTTGGATGCTTACGCCTCGCCTGCTAGGGGCAGTGTATGCTTTATGTTGCCCTGACTTGTGTGTAATGTTTTTCGTCACAGGCTTGAGCGCGAGCGTGACACTTTTCGCGTAAGATCCAGTCCATAACACATTCTGTATTAAAAAAAAAATGTTTCCGCAGTTACAGGGGCTCCTATATGCTGACGAAACCTGGCAGATCGTCACGAGAAGCGGCCGCCGAAATGGAAAAGGTGGAGCGGCAGACAACGGATGAGAGGAGAGTCACGTGACTGGCGCCCCTATGCGGCGAGACGCCGAAACACACTTCTCCCGAGCGAACAAGTGTGTTTCGTGTCCCCACCGCTGCAAACGCTGCGCGCTGATGTCCAGGCTTTCCGAGAAATGGCTCTTTGATGCTCTGTGCTACCAGGTCATCGCGCTCCAAATCTGCGACCAGGCCCTCTATGGCTCCGTCGTCGAACTGTCAGGCTTTGTGAGCATAGAGGATGCTATTGCAGTGATTTACCTGGGTGTGCATGCTCCAGGTCCAGAAGACGCCGAAGCATAATCAAATGAAACTCTTTACTGCTGTTTTCATTTTGTCTCTGACCATGGGGCGTGGCTAAAAGCTTTATACGGCAGTTGTCCCCAAGGACCGATTTCAACGCCTATAGTCAGTTGCAACATAAAATATGTAAAAGGAGCTCCTTCCCCAGAATTCTCAGAAAAGGATGATCTACCGAATAAATACGCACTATTTTTCTGCAGTCACAAAATGAGGCCACGCAAAGAAAGGCGTTTCTATAATCTCAGGCAGTTGCTCGGAAATTAACATTCAATAACCTGAGGAATCTTCATATCAATGGGGTACCACTGAACAGTAGTTGACCAAAACAAAAAAAGGCTACAGTGACACCAGACCTTTTTTGGGTAGGCGAGGGTAGCCTTCCGTGAGCGGGGCCTCTGATGTATATCTTATGTCGTAAAGATTACGTAGTACCGAGTGTTTGTGAGAAAAGAACACCTACTTTTTTCACCGCGTAAATTAACTACGCATCGCAGAAAGCTGTAACTCCGCGAAAGCTTGAAGATAGCGGGGATAATATGACCCGAACACTTTTTTTAACATGACGTTACCGGGATAAAAAAATGAACTTTCTTTTACAGACGGCTTCCACAAGCCTACTATCGCCGAAACAGGGAATCGCATTATGGGGGCCTGTATCATGTATTTAACTGGAAAGAAAACTTGTCAGCAAGAAAGAAGTCAATAATATTTTTCTCGGTTTTAAGTGTTTTACCCTAGTACGAATCCGACTTACGTTCAGAGCGTCACTTCTTGTTTGAAGACTATTACGCTTAGGCGGAAGTCAGCACATAGGGCAATTTCATCTTTTGCCTTCATTTGTTGATCCAGGTGACTTCGAGTTCTCAAAGCTTCGCATTCTATCACCACCGGAAACGTCCGACTCTCATTGAGTTTCAACTTTCTCCGATTCATAGCTTATTTACGCTGGCCTAAATCACGGTTGTCTCTCCTCCCAAACACCCGGAACATCTCCTCCATTGGCTACATACACATCGCGACACTGTTAGCGCGAGCATTGTCGAATTTTACTTCTAAATAGTATTAGCGAGCACAAAATTTCATCGCTTAAGGCCACGGTCCCACTGAATGTGGCAGTTTAGGTACTTTTTGGCAGGCCATTACTCATCTCCTTTTAAATACTGTTTTGTGGGATTGATGTCATTCGAAAGGCAATGCAATCCTCTTTCATTTGATATTATGTATGTGTTGGTTTTTACTGTTCATGCGCATTTGTAGCGTTGCGAATATGATGGCGCGGACCCTCACTTGCTCCGCTAGTTCATGTTTTATGAACGATCCATTAAAGATAGCACGGTTCCAATATAGCAGTTTTGTTAAGATGATGTCGGAGCAGAATCTAACGATCCACTTTTTTGATATTTGCACTACTTTGTTTTTTTCATCCCTCCAAATATTGCCCTAAAATTGACATTTTTCAGCACAAATATGTTTTTAATGACAAGCGCTAGGGCAATGAAATTAGCTACATATGTAGTGCTTATAATCGGTAATATGCAGA